AAAGATTTTGCTGAAGTATTAAAAAATTTAGATAGATACAGATTTGAAAATAATTTTGTTGGGCCATCGAATTTTTTATAGAAAATTCAAGTATGATAAACGATGTTGCAAAAAGTTTTGACATTCTAGCAATTAATTTAAGCGTCCTATATAATAATTATTTTGATGTTCCAGTAAAATTATTTTGAGATCTGTATCTGTGTCTCTAGCTAAATCTGTGGATATATTTCAACAAAACTGTATTCGTAATATAATCTCTTTTTTTAGATATGCAACACGAAAATATAATTTTAGTTAAAAAATTATTCTCGTCCGAGTAGAGAAAAAAATTTTATATTTATTTTACATTTGTTCGAAATGATGAGTCGTTCGAACACTTCTCTCGGTGCTTCTACTCAGGTAGCTCGGTCCTGGTATCAGAAACACATCGTGTCCTACACGAGTCGCGTCTGATAACACTATTACCCGAAACGATTCACACGGATCTCGCTTGATCTTTGAGTTGCTTTACTAACCGACTTATATCAGGAATTCTTTTACTTGATGCGAATAACGAATTCAGGATTTACTATTTCATCCCGATTCCTTATCTATTAGTAGCATTTTCTATTACTTGTTAGTAACATTAATGTTGTAAAGAGATTCAAGATTTAATTAATTTATATATTTAAGAGAAGAGATTAATATCACATATTTAAGAGATTAATTTAATATATATAACTTTTCCTTCTCTCAGACGCAAATGACGATAGTCTGGCGGATTATTCATCGAGGGACTTAATTTACATATCATTAAATTAAGCGAAACGGCTAATTTAATTAAATGATGCAATTGATTAATGAAGGTGTAATATCCACATGTATCATAGCTGTTATCCATGAAACACGTTTAGACTTCGAAGGATTTATATCAACGCGACACAATAAGCTCGCAACGATACATCATGGAAGATCGTTAAGCTGACGGGCGTACAAAAAGATTTCAATTCGCTCGCTGTCAGCTATGATAATTCTCTCGATTTCTTCCTTGTATGTAATTGCACGGACATTATACTTATATTGCCAAATTATTTTCGAACTTGCACATGTTTGTATGCGTGACTGGTACATGGAAAGCAACGATAATTTTGTTACTTCCATGGTAACATCTATATAAGAATATAATAATGCTGCGATAAATAAATACTTGATTAAATTTTGGTAAAATTATAAAGTTTACTCAATGTTCAAAAGTGTAAACTTTATTTCCTAATCATTAAACATGTAACATTCAAATTTTGAAAGATTATACTGAACAAAATTCCGGAATTCTGGTTGATACAATATTTCTAGTAAAATCTACCAGAATTCTTATTTTTGTCACATTAGTTATATCAATCAGAATTCTAGTTATCTCAATAGGAATTCTACATAGATTTAACCAGACAATTCTGATTCGTTATTTTTCCAGTAGAATTACCATTTAATTCCAACTCCAGACTTTTTAGATATTGGAAAGCTAATTTTATATTATTTTATTTGTTTGTATTTCTTAAGAATTCTTCAGTTATTCCAAAATGACGACTGTATTTCTTAAAAGGTAGTTGATTTTTTAATAATTCAAAAAATATTGTATATCGTAAAAATCAGTCTCTACATCGTATAGATTTCAAATCAGACGCATTGGATACTCTTGTCATTAATTTCAGTGTATCGACGAGCATTAAGAATTCCGAGGAAAATTCCCTCGATGACAAGGGTGAGTTCGTGAGAGAGGATCGGTGAAAGGAGAGACGTGGAAGGAGGATGGGGGTCAAGGGTAATGCATTCCATGAGTTGACACTCGTGGCTGGCCCGAATGTTTCGGATGGTTTTCTCTCCTTCTTCGATCTTCCGTCCTTCTCGATGTATCCCGATTCTCTCTCATACACCACCACAGGTTCCACCAGCTGGATCCAACACGGCGTGTTATAGACTCCGACGATGAACGGGAGAAGAGGTCTGGTGCTGAGCTACGGTACGTGTTCTCAGTTCCTGGAATCGCTAATTAGTGTCCTCCTTGTTTTATTCTCATGCTCCTCGTCCCCTGCCTGAAAATGGGTGTTCGTGTCGTGGACGCGACATTGGTTCCCCTTCACAGAGTCTACCTACTATCAGAGACAGATTGACGCCCCGGATGACGATTTCATCTTCTTATAATCGCCAGCAGTCATAAAATTATTTCCATCTCTAGGAATAATTTTGACTGTACTAAGAGCACTCTTCCATATCGGTAATATAACTTTATAAAATGCTTGACACATATCGTTTGAGTCTACGCTGAATTTAATCCTGCTGGTCTGTTCAAATTTACTATACAATATCGCACTGTTTGCATCAATTAAAAAGTTATGAAAAAATAAAAAACAAAAATTTTTTTTACAAAAGAAAGGATCCTGTGTTAACAAAAGACAAAGTCATCAAATAC